AGCAAAATTCAAAATTCTAACATTTTCTTTTTTTTATTTATTATTATAATAGGCCTGCTTTATGCAATTCATGGAAATGGAGCCATGTTGCAATGCACCTCTCTCTTCTTCAACTCTTTCTTTTCTCTCTTCTTTTGTTAAAGAAAGGTATACACAGGTGGATTTTCTCACGAACATTCGTACAAAAAATCCCATTGGAGGGTTTAATAATACCATCAGAGACGTCGCAATTTTCATTTGAAATTTAGTTTGATTTTCATTTAACATTTGAGTTTGTAATGAATGCAGTTTTCTGAACAAACACCACATTCACTGTGAGAATTTCATTCAATGGAGAAAACATCTACAACATGCTGCTTCAAATTTTTTCTTAACTGTGGTGAAAATTAATCATCAATTTCACTTTCTGAAATTGATTCAGTTTGTCCAAAATTCTAACCGTGTATATCCTACTCAACGCTTATCTGCTCTCTCACTTCTCTCCGTGCTTCTCTGTTCTCTCTGTCCTCTGTTTTCTTTCCTTGCTCTTTTTTCTCTCTCTCTCTATTCTCTCCCTCACTCTTCTGTTTTCTTTCTCTCTCTCCGCTTTTACTTCTCTCTTCTTTTTCCTTTCTCTCTTATCTCCTCTCTCTTCTCTATCTCTCTTCGCTACTATCTCTTTACTCTCCCCTTTTGCTATCTTTCTCTCCTTGCTTCTTCTTTGTTCTCTCTCTCTCTCTCTCTCCTCCCTTCTTTCCTTTCTCTCTTCGCTCTTTTTTCTCTATCACTTCTCTCCTCTTATTTGTCCTCTTTCTCACATCTCCCCTCTCTTATCTCTCATATCCCCTGTCTGTATTTTCTTTCTCCTTTCTCTAGCTCTCTTCTGCATATTTCCTCTTCTCTTGTCTCGCTCTTCTTTCAGCTCTCTTTTCTCTTCTTTCTGTCTTCTCGCACCTTTTTTATTCTCTCCTCTTTTTCTTCTCTCTCTCACTTCTCTTTTTTTTTCTCTCTCTCTCCTCTTCTTTCTCTCCTTTTTTCTCTCTCGTTCCTGGCACTCCCATAGATTCTGCCTGGTCATACAGGTAGGTGACACATTACTTCAGTGGTCTAGCACAGTATGTGCTGATCTGGCTTACTGCGTGTCTGCAATTCCCTGATCTGATTCCTGTAATGAGCTTCTCCCTGACTGTGACCTCTGCTAACAGGCAGCCCCATCTGCACTCTCTCGCTCTCCTCTCTCTCCCTCTCTCTGTGTATCTCCCTCGCTCTAGTCTTGATTGACAGCTTGTGCAGAAGGGCTGCTGACGTCAGAGCCGGCTCTGGTTGCCAGGGGTAACCTATTTGGCAAGCGAGCTGTGAAGAAGGTAGGAAAAAAAAGCGAGAGAGAGAGAGGCCGGGAAGCCCCGCCCAGGAGACCTCCTGTGGCTCTGACGTCAATGGACGTCAACCCTGAGAACATGATGCCTTGTGCAAGCGGCAGAGCTTTGCACAGAGCCGCTCGCTGGTTTCCTGCACAGCTGCCTCCACTCCTCTGAGCGTGACACTCCGCCAGAGCTGTGATCACACCCGGGCTGTGCGCAGCCCTCCATTGGATTAAACTGACTATTGAAGACAATGCCAGCGCCGGTGTCCGCCAGCTTGTCACGCTGCTGTCAGGGGGGATCACTGCCATGAAGTCTTTCCTATTCTATGTCACGTGAAGAGCGCAGCCTGGTCTCCAACTGGCAGTCTCCTGTGTGTGCACCCTTCCCGGTTAGGGTCAGCCAGGCTGCAGAATGAGAGCCGTGCCAGGCATGGACAGCCCGCTGTGCTAGGGACACGGTGTGCCGGGCTGGGCTCTGGAGGGGGGTGTGATCGTGCCGGTTGATGTCTGTTGCTCTTTGGATCTCACTGCCCTGGGTCCCAGCATGGTCATGGCGGATTGTCAGAGGCATGTACAGAGGGGTCCTGTCCGGGTCGGATTCTATGACATAGAACGCACTTTAGGCAAAGGGAATTTCGCCGTGGTGAAGCTGGCCAGGCACCGAATCACCAAGACAGAGGCAAGTAACAACCCCCCCTCCCCCGGTCTCTGAATACAATGTACTAAGATGCCGTTCCCGGGGAGCTACAGGTGGCACCGGGGGAGCTTCTTTGTCTTGGGAGAGTTCTTGCCTTCTCCCAGCACTTGCATGGACGGAGTCTGTTTGTATGAGCCATATGGAGCTCCAGGCAGTCAACAGCCATGGACCTGTGTCTTCTGTATGGCTGAGATGGGGTACAGGGCTTGCCACATACAGGGCACTGCCTGGAGAGGTGCCATCTGTCCCCGAGGAGCAGAGCATGCTTCTCTAGGCTTGTCCCTGGTTTTCAGTCATAACCTGTGATATCATACATGCCAGTATTGATTGCATAGGTGCCATTTATCTCTGAATTACAGGGACAGTCCAAGCTGTTCCCTGGAAATGTCTCCAAATTTTACCAATAACCAATAGTATCATACATGCCGGTATTGATTGCATAGGTGCCATTTATCTCTGAATTCCAGGGGTAGTCCAAGGCTGGTCGAAATAAGGGATAGATGGCACCTATGCAATCAATACTGGCATGTATGATACTATTGGTTATTACTGAGCATTGGAGATGTTTCCAGGAACAAGCCTTGGACTATTTCAGAGAATAAGAGATAAAAGGCATGTATGATACTATTGGTTATTGGTGAAATTTGGAGACATTTCCAGGATATTCCAAGGCTTGTCCCTGGAAACGTCTCCAATGCTCAGTAATAACCAATAGTATCATACATGCCAGTACTGGTTGCATAGGTGCCATCTATCTCTTATTTCCAGGGATAGTCCAAGGACTGCCCCTGGAAATGACTCAAAATTTCACCAATAACCAATAGTATCATACATGCCGGTATTGATTGCATAGGTGCCATCTATGTCTTATTCTCTGAAATAGTCCAAGGCTTGTCCCTGGAAACATCTCCAGTGCTCAGTAATAACCAATAGTATAATACATGATGGTATTGATTGCATAGGTGCCATCTATGTCTTATTCTCTGAAATAGTCCAAGGCTTGTCCCTGGAAACATCTCCAGTGCTCAGTAATAGCCAATAGTATAATACATGATGGTATTGAGTGCATAGGTGCCATCTATCTCTTATTTCCAGGGATAGTCCAAGAATTGCCCCTGGAAATGACTCCAAATTTCACCAATTAACAATATTATCAGACATACCAGCATTGGTCGCATAAATGCCATGTATATCTTCTTCTCTGAAATAATACAAGGCTTGTCCTTGGAAACATCTCCAGTTTTCAGTAACAAACAATAGTAGCATAATGTCAGTACTGATTGCATAGGTGTCCTCTGTCACTGATTTTTGAGAGGAATTCAAGGCTTGTCCCTGGAAATGTCTCTGTTTCAGTAATAACCAATATTATAAATGTTACTAATTATTACATAGGTGGCAGCTATCTGTAAGTCTTAGACCGCCCCTAGGAACATCTCCAATGTTCAGTTAAAACCAATACCATCATAAATGCCAGTATTGATTGCATAGGCGGCATCTATCTCTGATTTCCTGGAATAGTCCAAGGCTTGTCCCTGGAAATGTTTCAGTAACAACCAATAATATTGTAAATGTCACTAATTATTGCATAGGTGCCATCAGTCTCTGATTTTCTCAAATAGTCTAATACTTGTCCCTGGAAACATCTCCAATGTTCAGTAATAATAAATAGCACCATAAATGCCGGTAATGATTGCATAGGTGCCATCTAGCACATAGTTTCTGAAATGGTCCAATACTTGTCCCTGGAAATGTCTCCAATGCTCAGTATTAACCAATTGTATCATAAATGCCAGTACTGATTGCATAGGCACCGTCTATCTCTGATTTTCTGAAATAGTCCAAGGCTTGTCCCTGGAAATGTTTCAGTAACAACCAATAATATTGTAAAAGTCACGGTTTATTGCATAGGTGCCATCTGTATCTGATTTTGTGACATAGTCCAAGCCTTGTTCTTGGAAGCATCTCCAATTTTCAGTAATAACAAATAGTGTCCAAATGCCAGTATTGATTGCATAGGTGCCTTTCATTTCTTTAGACACTCCAAGGCTTGTCCCTAGAAGTGTCTCCAAATTTCAGTAATACTCAATAGTATCATGATCGAATGTTTCATATCTAGCCCTCATTTTCTGACATAGTCCAAAGCTTGTCCTTGGAAATATTTCCAATGTACAGTAATAACCAGTATTATCATAACTTGGTTGCACAAACGCCATCTGTCATTGATTTCCGGGGATACACCAAGTCTGTCCTTAGAAATGTCTCCAGTTGTCATTAGTAATGAGTATTATCACACATGTTAGTATGTATTGCATAGCTGCCATCTGCCTCTGATTTCCAGAGACAGTTCTGGTTTGACCCTGGAAATGTTCCTAGTTTTTAATAAATACCAACCGCATGATAAGGCGCCTCTTTGTTCATTTCATTTGGAATACACCCCAGCCAGGTATGGACGGTCCTGGCTCAGGTCTCCTTTATATACCCAAATCTGCTGTGAGTCCTTGTGTACCCTCTGTGGCCTTCAGAGCCAGTCTGAATATATGATAACTGACACCCCAGACATATATCACTTACTGAAGACAAGTATTATATTCCTAAATCGCACCCCATCCCCCGTCCCCCGCTGCCCAGTGTCATTATCACTGCCCCTGTCACTTTGCTGAACACCTCTATCAGCATGAAGATGTGAAGTAAAATACAACTAAAGCATGTAAAATACCAATCAGATCTCCTACACTGAACACTCATTCCATGCATCATCACTATAAAATATTATACACTATTAGGGGGTCTGTACATTTTTTGGGGTGGTGACAGTGGACATCAGGTGTATTGGAAATATACCCACTTCCCAGTATGTAACCCCCCTGCAGGGCTCTACTCATAGCCCTATGAGTAGAGCCCTGCAGGGGGTTTACATACCCATCACCACTTTCCCAGTCTCATTGAAGTGCAGCAGGTGCCTATACCATTCAGTGGGACTCCATTTAAAAACTGCTTGGGATTTACGTATAGCAGATGGGCAGTAAAGTGTCCCTGGAAACTATTTTAAAATGTTGGCAGCTGCAACTTAACTACTATTGTGCGCTACAACTGGCATTTAGCCATGTGCTACTGGTCGGAACAGCTGACTGGTACTTTATACCCTTATCTCCTCCATGCTATAATCCAAACATGCGTATTTTGTCACCGATACATCCATCGCGTTTGCATAGTAGATGGTTTAGTAGGTATGGGATCACAAATCCTATTGTCACTTGATGCCATTGACTGCGGATGGGTAATAGTAGCTGCCCATCACACAACACCTTTATAGTGCTACACGCATGATGTCTGGCACAGTCACATAGGGCCCGATGTGTGAAAGTGTGCTGAAAATAAACATTTCCAAGGGCGACTCGCTTGTTTTTTTTTTGACTGTTGGACTGGAAGCTGAAAGACACGTCGGGAAAAAGAAAAATGTTAGCTTTTGTGCACTTTTTTGATACATCAGGCCCATTGTCATGTTCTAGTAGGTTTTATTGTGCATTTATTTACACAGCAAAAATCCTGAGCATGTGTCACTCAAACACAAAGGATGTACAATATGTGCAATTTACTTAAAACTGGTGACATCTTTGTCGCAGGAAGCATGTGCCTGAGGCCACCATGATGTCATCATGTGACCTTATGATTCTAGGTCACATTGGCGTCCAGCATTCCACTTATACTTTAATTATTATTATTATTGTTATTATTATACAGGATTTATATAACCCCAGCAATTTGCGCAGCGCTTTACAATAGAAGGAAGACATGACAATTACAATACAATTCAAGACAAGATGGAAAGGAGGACCAGCCCGTGAGGGCTTACAATCTAATAGGATAAACATAATAAACTTTACTTTAATAAACATAAAAGACCCGGCCTAGGTGTGCGTTTTTGTCAATTACCTACCAGGTGACTGTATGGTGCTGCTTATGCTTTTGCAAGTTGCATGAAATGTATCATCAAATGATTAAAAGGCCTGCGTCTTTAATGTTCGCCTGTTTCTAAGTTCCCTTTGTAAGTGTGAATTCGGATTTCTCTGTGACCTTGCAAGGAGAACAAAACTCGGAAGCCTTTCGAATTTGAAATGTACTCATGCACATTACGCCTGGAAAGGAGCTGAGCCAATATTCAAGCTGTCAAATCACTAATAAGTGATGACATCACGGTGGCCTCAGGCACTTCATGCTTCCTGCGACAAAGATGTCACCAATTTGAAGTAAATTGTACATATTGTACATCCGTTGTGTTTGAGTGACACATGCTCAGTATTTTTGCTGTGAACTTTAACTTTATGCTACCGTAGTAGATGAGTCAGTTCTGGGCTTTGGAGGGATGAGGATAAAGGAAATAATAATTATAATATGCAAAATTGCAACACCGGACTCCGTGTTTCCAAAACACAATGATGTAGCATTCCTTTGAGACAGTGTTTTGCTTTTTTTATTTTTGTGTTTGGCTTTCTTGCAGATGTTTATATTTCAGTAATATATTCATCATGTTGCAAGGTTTATGGGTGTTTATTACTTTGCTTTCTTTACTATTTATTTTTTACAAACTTTTGCACTGTTTATCGGAAGGTGCAACTTTATTTGCTATTGAAAAGCCAGAATTTCTTTTAGCTGCACCTGTCAGTGTCCCCCAATACTATACACTTGTGTGTAGAAGCCTGCAGACTATTTATACATTAGTTACTTATTATTATACAGGATTTATATAGCGCCAACAGATTGCGCAGCGCTTTACAATATAAGGAAGACATTACAATCGCAATACAATTAAAGACAAGATGGTAAGGAGGGCCCTGCCCGTGAGGGCTTCCAATCTAAAAGGGAGGGGCAAGTGATATATGAGGAGGTAACTGTGCGGGGATGATACTTAATTAAAAAACAATTAATGGGTTTTATATAGTCATAATATGCTTTTTTTACATACAGGATACGGTTTAGTCCTT